TAATTTTCAAAGTCTGTATCCTTTGAACAAGTAGCTYATGTTGTTAGCTATGCCTTGGCCAGCCTCTACACAAACTGGTCTTCTTGTGTCCTATTCAGCCTAAACACGAACATCTTTTTTCCCCCTGACACTTTCCTTGACCTCACATTTCCTTCAAGAAGTGACCACAGTCTGATGTTAGCCACAGCTGACCTCTCCTTGTCACACATCATGAGTTATCAGATTCCCTCTCAAACCCAAGGTGACAGAGGGACATTTATTCTCCCTCTTCATTTGCCACCTTGTGTTTGGRCGCAGAAAACAGGCAACATGCCATTTATTTCCTTACCTTTGTGTTGCCCTTGATGCTGACATTTTGATATGATTTATGTGCACGTTGTACAGTAAAGGCTCTGATCTGCAAAGACTGAAAATTTCCTTCATAGCTGGTAACAAATCACAGACTAGCTTTATTAATGACCAGAAGTAAATGTCACTGGTGAATTGAAAAATAATACCAACACAGTGAAAAATACAGTAAAACAGCCATGGTTAAGTAATTACTTTAAACCCAGTTTAAATATGGACCATGGTCTGTTTTGCTAATTTCTTTTAAAGCACCTGGGAAATAAAAATGGAATAGAAGCATATCTGCTTAATGATTTTAATGAAACCTGTGTTTTGTTTAATTGTTTTCTGGTGAACCAGTTTGTTTCCACTCTACAACCATCACATTTTCTTTCAACCTTTAGCATCATTTGTGCGTGCAACAGGTACATTTGGTGACAATAGTGCAATTTATACAAAACTATCAGAGGTTTCCTAAACCTAATCAAACTGTTCTGATGCCCTAAACTTAARCAACATAAAAAGAAACCAAAGCCTTTCTTTATTCACAGGAAATCACTMTAGATTGACATTTGCAGCATTCGCTCTCCGGTTCTTATATTTCCAGCCAGTGTGTCAGAGCGCTAACACCATTCTGAGTGGTTGGCTAACTTACAATGCAGACACATTAGTAAATGGCTAGAAGAAGGATTACACATCACAAAGCCACTACCCCTGGAGTGGCTAATGATTTTCCTCCATAATATACTTCTAAATTGCRTGCTTACTGTACTGTACTGCACCACTGCCTCAAGGCAATTTTGCTTGATCTGCTTATCTTCTAGATGTATGCACATGTGTTGTGTACATCTATCAAAGAAAATAATTTTATTATACTGAATTTCAATGGAGTGGTCGGACAGAATGCAAATAAAACTGAATATATGATTTTATTAWATGGAAAGTTAGGTGTGAGGTTGTGTCACGTAGCGTATTATTCATATGCTCAATTATTCTGAATGTTTGCCAAAAATCAACTTGAATATCTGTGTGTGTGTATGGTGAAGATATGTAAGTACTGTCTCTTTTTTCTTTTGTTTATAATTTTACCTATCATGTTCCCCCTCTTTTTTCACTTTGATCATAAAAGAGGTAAAAATCTGTTTTTTGGAAGCTAAAATGCCAAAACTTTGAATTAAGTCAAAGTATGGAATCCTCCTGATCCAGGAAGATTTTCAAAAAATAGGTACACACTAAGCTGATAGTGGCATTTTTCTTCACAAGACAAAAAAGTGTTTTTTCCAAAGGTAGGTAATATGTCAAGTAGACAATACAAACTAGGGGTGCACCGCCAATTTCCTTACTTTTGGGAGATCAGAGATCAGTCGATCCTTAGATAAGATTGTGGAAAAGATCGGCCTTTCTACCTTCAAAAAGTTCTGAAAATCAGCCACTGTCCTCTTTTGTTCTGCTGTGAGCTCTAACTAATGTCGAGTTGAAACAAGTTTGTATTGTTTCAAGGGTATTGTTTGATGTATTTCAATAAAATAACACTGAAACATTGAAGTTGTATTAGGGTTGGACATAATCGTAACATGCGCAATTGATTGTCAGAAAAAAACATTAATCGATTGCTTTTTGACATTTGACAATTAATAAAATTAATGCCACCAGGCAGACTGACTGGAGATTTTCCCAGTCAGTCTGCTTCAAATATGAGAAACATTAAAAAAAGTTGTGTAATTTATTTRTCATAACTCTGGTTTTACTTGGTCTATCAACACAATTAAAAAATGAYGTATAGCYGGAAGTCTGTAGTTTTAACACAATTTGGAACAGATTTTTTTATGAAGAGCAAATGTTTCCCACTAGAGTGTCTTAAATTGGTCATGTGACCAGGATGTGAGGGCGTCCAAGGACTTGTCAAATTAATCGTTATTGGCTAAATACCACAATTAATCGTGATTAATTTTTTTGCCGATATTGCCCAACCCCAAGTTGTATTGTGACTTTATAACATCAGTGTCAGCTATTTAAAAAAAATGGTATTGGCCAAAATCGGAATCAGCAGGTCAGACGTTTTAAAGATAGGAGATCGGCCAGAAAACTGGAATCGGTGCACCCCTAGTATGAACTAACGCATGGAGGATACAAATTGAAGGGGAAAAAAGGACAAAATATGTCTACTGACACAAAATGAAAAAAAAAATTCAAAACCTCAAACCGCATAGACCGTTCTTTAATAAACATATCACAGTTTTTTTTTTATCTTTTTAAATTCTGGTCCACAGTTTGAGGCCAAGTTGAGTTATGCCTTTAGAGCAAAGCTTAATATTCACATGTCCACTCCACATTAAAAATGTACTAAGTAGGTAGGGAAGAAAAAAATTGCTCTTACAGATTACCAAAAATAATTACACACTGAGTTCTCCTTCTGAGCCACATCTTCCAGCCAAGGGTGCAGCGAGGAAACAGTTGTAAAACGCATATCTTGGAAATGCATGTAAGGCGGCTTAATTGGGGCCAAATTTTAACAAATCTTGTCATGTTTTCTACACCTTCAGGTGCAGTTAGATAAAAGCACACAGCAAGTGGCATATCTAACTAAAAGAGAAAGCGGATAGACACAGAAAGCGTGGGAGCTGAGCGTTGCCAGAGAGGCGCGCTGGCTTTTTAGTGTCTTCCGTGCTGTTTGGAGGTTTGCTGCATACAAAGCTCTCTCTCTTGCATTTGTTTTCCACAGAGGCATGCAGAATGACTGTTGAGTGTTTGTATACACAAATGCGCTCATCAAAATATCTTGGCTTAGTCTGACTTCTTCAGGTGCCGCTAGATAAAAGCACACAGCAGAGATAAGCGGCAAAAAGGAAAAAAAAAAAAATTCCAAACAGATTGACATAAATTGTGTATGTTTTGACACCTTACTCTACTTTTTTTAGGCAGGAAAATTGGTGTTTTGTAATCCAATAACACAGAAAAAAAGGTGCATTTGTGACATAAAGCAGATGTCAGAAAATCTATTTATAGGCAAGCTGGGATGATTTTTCAATCCTAATAATGTTGCTTTAAAAGCAAAACTTAAGTGGTTCCATGTTATTACAACTAACCAAACAAACAAAAAAGATAAAAATTAGGGTAGACTGTGACGGACAACGGGATGTTCTCAAAATCAAATAAATGAAATATAGAACGAACAAGGTCAGCCTAAATGATATTTATTTTCACCTGAGTGGTAAAAAAAAGTGTTAAGTTCTTAATGTCAAAGAAGTTCTTTAACTTTCCCTCCCCCGACTCCTCTAGCTTCAAATTTGTTGGCTTTCTGTTCAAAACAGCAACGAATCACAGCCTCTCTTGTCCTGCTCTGATCAGAACTGTGCTCGGACATCTGTTACAGCATGTTTACCCTGGCAGTAAGTATGTTAGRGGAAATATTATCCTAGTTTTATCTTACCTTTCTTCTGTTTGAAGCATAAACATCGACATTACAACATGAGCTTGGATAATTAGACGTTAAAAAGATACAAATGTGCAGAAAAAAATGGATTTAAAAAAGTGGGATGATGGGGAGCAAATAAAATGTGAGGAATCTGTTTTGGTGAATGATGATCAGCTGAGCAGGGGAAAAATAAATAAATGGAAGGATGTTCAAATAAATATAGAAAGGAAGAAAACGGAGAAAAACAAAGAAAAAAGAAAAGTAAAAAAACAGTTGTTGTTGATACTCAGACAGTTAATCCAACCTGCTTCATTTCTCAAAAATCATCACTCAGTTCCACAAAGCTTCCTTCAAAATGCCAAAGCAGTCATTTTACCACAAGGTTGCTAATACGATCAGACTGCACTTTCTTATTGATTTTTTTTTACCATTAAAATCTATTATTGATTATCTTTTTTTCTTTACCAAAAACAAAAATGGGGATACATGGTCAGAWAAATAACTACATAAATAAAAAAAATCTGGTTGCTTTAGGAGTCAAAGCAGTCCTCTGCCTTTTGGAAGCTTGATACTTTTAAAGATGTGGGATGGAGATGCCAAGATCAGTCTGTGGGCAACTCACTAAACTCCAGGTTGCCACTTATCTATGAATCGGTGTGTACTTGTATTTGTTACCTTTTTTAGGACCGTTTCTGGTATACACACCTTGTCAAGACCAGTGGTTCTTATGGAGGCCAAAGACTGGTCCCATTATGGTGGAACTCCCTTTGTGATTTGTGGATTAGGGTTAGAACTAAGGTATGTAATGGGAGAGTTAAGAGGTTAGAGTTAGGCTATAGAAATGACTAGAAGTCAATGAGCGGTCCTAATAAGGATAGGAATACAAATGTGCGTGTGTGTGTCTGAGTGGGTGAATGTGGCTACTTGTGCACTTTGTATGGTCAATAAGACAAGGAAAGTGTAATAAAGCAGTCCATTTACCATTTACAAAAACAAAAAAAATATCTCTATATAAAGAAATAAAACATCCAATTTCAAAATAAAAGTCAAACCGTCTAGACAGCTTTTTGTGGTCTGTAAACAATCAATATACAGTTTACAGCCATATCTGCGTGGTGTTTGGCATATAAGCATATGGGCTCACAGATGCTCAGCATGCACCCACAAGCAGATTTCTCTCTCTCTCTCTTGCTTTCACTCTGTCTCTCGCTCGCTCTCTCTTTCTCTTTCTCAGTGTCATACACACAAATACACACACCTTTCTCTTCCTGTTTGGTGTTGTGTCCAGTTGAAAACCAAATTTGGAGGCTGTTGACCTGAACTGCATCAATTCTCGGTTTTCACTAGAAAAAAAAATAACAAAAAAGGACACTTACAGTCTGTCTTCCTGATGGTCACAGAGCCYGTTTTCCATTATTTACCTCTTTTGTGTACTTGCTTTTTTAAAATAATTTCAGCATTTTATGTTCTAACATGTGTCATCCTTAGCTGTCCTCTTTCTCAGCTTGTCTAGCTGTCTGTCTGTTTGTCTAAGTGCCTCCCCAAAACTCTTTCCATCAGTCTTTTTATTTGCACACCCTCTTTTTCTTTCCCCCCCACCCACCTTTCAATCCCTCCCACTCCACCACCAACTAGGCATGAAAACGGTGCTCCATTAGGAGTGCCTGAGCTAAGCCCAGTCTGACACACACRGCTTTGATCAGCCATGAGCTGGGCTAAACACCCCACTAAACTCCGAGTCTGAAGACGAGGAGGAAGAAGGGGAGGGAGCGGGGGTCGTGCGGAGGGAGAGCAAAAGGGGCGAGAGTTAGTAGGGGATGGAGCGGCAAAGATCAAAATGGGTAAATGTGACGAAGACGGGAMCACAATAAAAGGGAACCACTAAAACTGAGCAGGGGAGATGCTTTACTCCAATCTGTTTCGCAAAATTTGCGTCCCGAACACTTTTTGCATTCCATTTTCTTTCACATCTTTTTTTTTCTTCTTTAAATTACTTATTTCCCTGTGTTGCTTTGGCTGCATTTTCGTCCTCATAACCTCCAGGTAGCCTGTWAACACAACACTAGCAAATCTCTGCAGGTGCACAGCTCAAAGACAGCTCAAAGAACGGAATGAAGCAACTAATGTCAAAACACGAGCTCAGGCAGCTGAATATCAGGAAATCCCAAAAACAGCACAGTCGAGAGAGAAAACAAAGTATAAATTGTTCATAAAGATCAGGTTTTCCATGGATGACAGYTGCTAAAAAAGAAAAAGTAATGCTTTCAACTTTTATACAGATACTAAACCAGCAGCAGCAATAAGACAAAACCTTCGCACCTTTTGCTCCCAAGGAGTGAAGTGAAAAGGGATTTCCGCTCACTGCTAATCAATCAGGCTGTGATAATGGCTCCCATGCCTGGCTGTCGACTGTAAGGGTCAAGGCATCCCGTGACCCAGCGCCCAGGTCCCAGGGGCCAAAGCTCCACTCAGAATAGCACCCCAGGACGGACTCCCTGGGCTAATTGTCCTAGCCAGTGTCAGCCTTTTCAATGCCCCCCGCCCTAACCCTCCCCTCTTTCCACTTTCTCTGTCATTCCTCGCTCTTTCTTCTCCCTTTTTACYCCCCTTCCCCTCTTGCCCTCCTCACAACACCGCAATCTTTTCTGCTCAACTGAAGAATCTACCGACCTTATCAGCGTGGAGCAGCATGGGGCTGACAGAAAGCGAGAAGTTGGGCATGAGGTACTGAGGAATGGGACTACATGTCAGAAAAAAGATTGGTGGCAACAACAGAAACAGCAGTAAGTGATGTGAGGATGAAAGAAAAAAACACACAAAAGAGCCATGTGACAACACTGGACAGAAAACAACAGACATACAGAAGAGTAATATAGGAGAAATAAGGACTGTCTCCTTTTCCACAACATATCATTCATGGCACTAGAGTGCAGTGACAGGTCGGTCCACATCAATTTGCATATCAATGGGTTTTTATTAAGCACAGCAAGAGCGACATGTGTCTCAGCATATCCTCTCAACATCATTATGACTGACTGCCACACTGCAGCCGGCATTCAAGGACAAAAAAAAAAAAAAAAAAGGAAAACAAAAGACAAAGAGGACATGCACAAGGAAGCACAAGAGTCCGAAGCAAGCCCTACTCCAGCTCCATGCAATGGCATTCCTCTCATTCCAAGCACACGCTGCTAATTAACATCATTAGATCCCGCGGACTCAGGGACAAACTGATGAAGCCGTAGTCCGATGTTGCACTACTACGTCTCTGCTCTCTTCTGTCAGTTTCTGTCTGGTTTTGGTCATCGGTCTCTCTTGATCCTGCCCGCACTCCCTTCCATCCAACTCTCTTTCCCTGTCATAGTCTCTGTCAGGTTGTGGTCAGAGAGTGCTGAAGAGGAGCAAAGTGAAAGAAAAAAAAAAGTAAATGCAAAATAGGACAATAAAAATCAGCTACTCACAGGGGAGTTTTTTTGTTTTTGTTTTTTTGTTTTTTGTTTTTTTCTTTATCCTGCTCTGCCACTCCGTATCCTCTTCTCCAAGGTAGAATGGGAGTGTTTCTTTTTCCCGGCGCGTGTGTCAGTCCGATAGAGGAAAGTTGCCTTCTGCGTGCGTGAGCATGAGTGAGTGTGCGCGTGGAGCAGAAGAAAGAACGTGTGTGTCTGTCTCTGCGACTTGCAATGCTCTGACTGAGGGAGCCGAGGCTGTTTTAAACAGGCTGCTCTCCCCATGTGACCAACCCAGCCACAGGCAGGAATACATTACAGACACACACACTCTATCTCCCCCCTTTCTCTCTCAACCATACACACACTGTGTCCACAGTGCACCCCCTAGCCACAGCTCAGGGTATTGGAGGGGAGCAGCCCTCGGAAACAGCATGCATTTATGCGCAAAACGCAAACACACTAAAGCCAGTGGAAAGGAATACGCATGTTTGTTTGATTAGCAGTATTGTGTTTTGACCCTGCGTTGATGGCTTTTACTAATCAAAAATATGCAAGTGAGCAATCACACATGTACACCCAAACAAAAATTACAAAACACAATTATAGCTTTTATTTTAATTATTATATTTCTGACTTTTCCTTCTTTGCTGTGGTGATGTTTCACACCTGAAAGCACCGACCTTTTCACTACTGAAAACCTTTTAAAGCTGACCTTCTGTTTCAAGAAATACAGTTGCATTGCCGCTACCTTTTAAAAAAACAATAGATTTAACGTCCATTGTTTAAAGTTTGTATAAAATAGAGTGAATTGAGAACGATATAGATTGTTGCAATCCATAGACTGTTCAATCAAGGTATAAAACACTGGACATATGGTCATACTTTCCTAAATATTCATGTTGTTTTCACACTGCATTGCAAATAAATACATTTATCATGAAATGATAAAGAAATACCCAGACTGTATTATTGATTTAGAGAAACTCAATGATAAAAATAAACAAACAAACAAACTATCTACTAATAGTCATGTACTGTCGCAATAATAATAATAATGTTAGCATGTGTGGAGAGCAGATTGAATTCTCTGACATGCTTGTTTAGTTCACAGTTTACTTTTGATCCTGCCTCTGGTATTTATGAAACGGGGGTGTCGTGCCGAAAGTCAAACCAACCAAAGTATCGATCAAGTAACTTTGGTATCAATACAGTCTGAGACCAGTTTTACTATTATATGTTTTTGTGGATTTCCAGTCATCCAGAACATTGAAAATTTAAGGAAAAATGACAATGCAACTGGACTTCTCTTTAGTAGCTGAAGATGTGTGGAATTCCAGGATTTAAACATCTTCACTTGAGGTTAGTGTCATAATTATCACTTAGATCGATCTGCTCACTCCCACATCACAAAAAAAGTTAAAGTTGGATGAAATGCCATATGAGTGTTTAGACTGCAGTCGCTTTGAAAAACATTAGATGTGTGTTGGATACTGCAAAGAACTGAGTCTAATTTAAAAAAAAAACAGATTTCACGTTTAGACTGTCATGTAAAAATCAGATTTGCATTGCATCGGAGCAAAAATACACTGTACATGGGTTGCATATGCCTGCAGTGTTAAACAAGTCTACATTCACACTACATATGCCTGAAGTGTGAATGTAGTTAACTAATTTAACAAGTCTATCAGAGCCAACTGAAAGCACAAACTTCACACAAGAAAAAAAAAACTTTTCTAAGAATATATATGTAGTCACCTCAATCAACACATCTTCAAATGACAATTGCCTTTAAGAGAAATAAATAGTTTTGTGTCAGTTAGCCCTGTGCTCTGTGCATGGTTCATAATAGCTGTAGGCCAATACAGTATGTCCATGAGCTGCTTTTGTAGTTGGCGAGGAAAAAAAGTCCCCAAAATGTCCCAAAACATTTGTAGAGTTCTCAGATTCCTTGCAGGAGTCATAGARAGCAGACTTCTCCTTTGACTTTTGAGATGTTGGGAAAAAATAAAATTAAAAATCATGAAGCCATTACACTGTTTTTGACCTATAGTTTGCATGCTCATTATATGATGTGTAGGACAAATTCCCATCATATTTATTCCAGACTTTCTTTTCTTCACTTCCTCAGGATAATACGCAAATGAATACATTTTAGCATAATACCAATGCAGCAGCCAATTTGGAGCTTTACTAAAAAAAACTTTTTTATAATTTAAATTTTCTCTTGATGCTGACTAAAACACAGCACTTTACTCTCTGTTTCTTTGGTAACATTGCTTCATTTCACATACTTTTCTATAGCCTATACTCACTCTGTCTTTCTTATTTTCCTCAAAATTTGGCAGCATCTTCCTGCCGATTTTTTTTGTGCATGTCACCCTTTCTCTTTCAGCCCTCTATTGTTCATCCTTCATATTTAACCTGTCATAAACTCGAAAGACCTGAAGAGGGGAAAGGAGGGGGCAGGCTGAAAAATGTGACGGGGCCAGCTTGATGTCAGAAAACGATCAGAAGAGCCACTGCTCATTATTCATGAGCTATTTGGTTTAGAAAGAAAGAAAGAAAGAAAGAAAGAAAGAAAGAAAGAAAGAAAGAAAGAAAGAAAGAAAGAAAGAAAGAAAGAAAGAAAG